CTGAGATTAAGTAATCCAGCATGGCCATAGTTTAAGTAATTAAAACTAAATCACCCACCTGATAGAAAAACCAATATCCCACTAAAACCTATTAACCATTCAAACATTATTTTCTCCTAGATATTATACTGTGATTTTTTTTTTTTTTTTTATAACATGAGCATCTGGACCTGGGAAAAAATCAAATGTCAATAAAAATTCTATCCAATGAAGCATATTAAATGCCAGTTGCTCAATAGCAGTGTCAACTTATGACATGCATAATCTGACTTAAATACTTCAACAACCTTAATCTTATATTGACATTTAGGGCTTGTTTGGTATAGCGGTTATAATTCAGTGGATAGCAGGTAGCAGGTAGTGGATAGCAATTGTGGATAACGGGTAGCGGTTAGCGGATTGCAAAAAGTGAGTAGTGGATGGCACATAGCATATTCAATTAATATAACTGTTTGGTTATACAATAGTTAGCAGTTGTTGTTTGAAATTAAATGACTAATAAGGATATATTTAAAAACAATTAAGTGTATTTTTTAATATATTTTTTATTATTAAAATTATTAATTTTATAAAAAAATAATAAATAAATTATAATAGTGTAATCATACACCAATTTTTATTTTTAATAAAGAAAAAAATATATTAGTTTGAAATAAAGTACAAAAAATTTTAATCTTTTTGTCTAATTAGTAAATTTTAATTAGTAAGCTAATATATTTTTTATAATAAATTAATGTAAAAAAATCTAATAATTACTTAATATTATTAAAGACAAAAAATAAAGTTGAAACTAATTAGATAAATACTAATTAAAAACTGTGGAAAAAATTAAAAAATTAAAAAATTAAAAGGGATAAACTTGTCAATAAAATTTAAAAATTCGAATGCACTAAGGTTTGGTACCAAACCACTATCCACTAATCCCAAACCGCTAAATAAAAAGTCTTACCAAACACCTAGTCTATAGCGGTTTTGAAATAAATAAGTTTATCAAACAGCTATTCTTAGCAGTTTGGGCAAAACCACAAACCGCTACCTCCAAACTGCTATATCAAACGGGCCCTTAATCTTGATATTTCAGCAGAATCAAAACTTGCATATGAAAACAGCGTACAAAATTAATTGACACTGATATTTAACCTGAGAATGATATCACCAAAGTTGAGACAGGCAAAGTTCTAAACTTCATCAGAAGCAGGAGGTTGCATTATATTTTGCACTTTTATTTATGAAAGCCTATAATTTAATCAACCCTATTGAACCTTACAAATGTTTAGCAGTCTTACCTGTCAGCATTAATGAGCCAGTCAAAAACGAAATTTTCAAGACCAGACCAGAGCTTCTCTGCAATGGAAAAATATTACTTAGTCTTTCAAGCAGGAAAATTAATTCAAGTAGAAAAGTAAGAATATCAGTTTTGGCCATAGAAAACCAATAGCATGATGAAAGAACAAACCAGTAAGTCCTTCCTGGGGACAGCACTCAACAAAACGTATACATGCTGAGCAAAATATGCACTCTACAGCCAGCTGAACCCCATGGAAACATAATATTAAACTCATAGATAATTAAAGCACATTAATAAAAATTCTAATTATATTACAAAAGTAACAAAGAGGTATCCTTATGTTGCCAGTTTGTCTGAAGCAAATTTAAAGCAGAGCTAACAGTAGTGATCTTACGGAGGCATGATGGAGAATAAAAAATACTGAGGTTTATTTGGAACTAAATTTCTAAGTTGCCATACAAACCTTTCTTTGGAAAGTAGATGCATCATTTGCTCCCTTTGGAGATTCACTGTGACAAACAACCCAAAAGGGTAATAAGAACTAATGAGGACAATTACATAATGAACAAAACTTAATACAACATATTACAGGTTTTGCCTTATAGAACATCACATAATGAAAAGGGGGAGGGGGAGGGAATAATTAATTATTTGTCAACAAGTATTAAACTTCATTAAAAAAAAAAAAGGACCAACTTAGAAGTCTCAAATGATTAATTCTAAGGAATTGCAATCTCTTCTTATTGTTCCAAACTTGATGTCTATTGTTTCCTAACCCAATTGATTGGGAAAGCATAAAAATAAACAAATAGAAAAAAAAAAAAAAGAGAGGATGAAGAGTTGGAAGAAATAAAAAAACAAAACCTTAATGAAAATTTTCAATGAACTGTGGGTTCTCCAGAATCATAAAACCAATATTAATAGCTAACAAGAATAAAGAATGTCAGCATTTCCATGGGAGTGCAAGTTACTGGGAAAGAAAATTTGTAGAAAATCTGGAAAACCAAATGAGATAATCCTTATCCACCTCTCCCGCCATCGAAGAAGAGCTTCCAGAAGAGGAACTGGAGTATGCCTAGCAACCATTGCCAAGGAATCAAGTACTTGCTCATATGCAGGATCAGAAGGTCTAAGGTACTGCCCATCCTGTGGATACAACAGGTAACAAAATGACATGGAACTCATGAGATGCTATGGGCAGATTCAGCATTACTAATAATTAATAAAAGAGAATTAAAATATCATGTCAACAGTAAGTTGTGGTACATCATCATGCTATTAAAATATCCAAATAAACAAAGGAACACATAGTTACATTTCATGCAACTTTCTTTGACAAAACTTTGTACGAGCATAGAAAGCCCTACAAAGGAATTGACCAAATCTAAAAGACTTCTCCTAAATAAGCAAGAATAGATTATTCTACTAGCTACCCTGCACCAATAACTGTTTAACATGAAAATAATTATGGCACATCTGGCAAGGAAGGACTCAAAACCTCTTCTTAACGAATAAATGAAAAGAAAAAGTGATATCACCTAAACTAGAAAACAAGCGTTTCGGATACCCATGTGCCCTTATACATCAATTTATTAGTGTCCTATGCAAGGTACTCTATACCTTCTCATTTATTTAAAATCAACACTTCAGCAAGACTACCAGTGATTCAACACATAAAACCCATGGATCAAGCATGCACAATCCCTCCATCTTTAATAGTACTAAAACATACACATGGACTGACTCCACGGTGCAAACCAATGCTCTATAAAAAGAACACTTGAACTCTATTTATCACAAGTTAAACAAAGTTGATAAACTCCGGTTGGAAAAGTGCCTGTCCATTTTTTAAGTTTCCCAACACTAGCAGTCTAGAACAAGCATTAAAGTTTTTTTTATCAAATAAACCATCATCTGCCTATGAATTACGTTTTGTCCAACCTTTTTCCATAATCACACCCTTCCCAAGTTCGATGCTGCATCGTTATGCATAACTTCCAGAATCCCTTAAAACATCACGCTTTCTACGCAACTTGAATTCAATCAAACAGATATTTGTGCGCAAAAACATTAATTCAACAACAAAAACACTTAAACAAGCATTCCTAGAAAATTAACATCACAAAACTTGAATGCAGAGAAAATCCTGCACACATAATAGAAAACAAGAGAAAAGGACCTGAGCTTGAGCAGTTTCGATGCGGCGTCGGGCAAGAGGAAGAAACCTCTGTAGCAGTGCATCCACGATCAACCTGGCAGCACTTCCTGCCTTCCTTTTTTCTTCCATTCCGATCTGCAAATTCTACAAAATCACATCCCTAATATCAAATTACGGCGGTCTATAACCATAAAAAACACTCACCAAACCATAGAATCGCAGAATCAGATAGCAAAATTACGGATTGAATTGAAAAGAGAGGAAATGTACTCGAAATTAGGGTTTTAAGAGACACAAAATCATTGCTCTGCCCGTGAAAAGACAGTGAGTTGCCGAGGATCCAACTGTTAGATACTCTGCAATAATATAATATTACTAATTACTCCTAACCAAGCTACGTAAGCTTCATTTTTATTTCAAACATGAGTTAATGCTTGAATCCACCATTTTTTTTTTTTAACAAGTTGTCACCTCAAAACCTGCTCATAAAAAAGGAAAAAGGAAAATACATCTCAAACTGTAACATTAACAGTCGGCCTCGAAGGGCAGGTGCATGCTTGAAACCACTATTAGGTGTCTTGTACGGCAGATTCAATATTGGGGAAATACATTAAACCCTAGCTC